GAAGGTGGGGGAGGGAGGGGGGAAAAGATGGGCTGATACCAAGGGATCAAGTAGAAAGAAAATGTTTGGAAATTATGATGGCAACATATGTACAAGTGTGTTCGATACAACTGAATTATGTATTGTTATGAGATCTGTAAGAACCCTAATAAAATGATTAATAATAAAAAAGAGAAGCTCCAATTAAAAAATTATAATTTTTAAGTACTAGTATATATTTTTTAAAAATAAGTTGTCTTTGCTTCCCAACTCTAAAATATCGCTTTGTTTTTCTCTCCCATAAAAATGTGAGTCCCAGGAGTGCAGGGGCTTGTCCACTGCTCTGTCTCCAGCTGGTCCAAGACCCCAGGAAAGCATGGCTGTGCTTTTACAGCATGGCCGGAAACACAAAGGCAGGGGGCTGGGGCTGGAGAGTGTTGCAGGGCAAGCAATGGGTGAAGACGGGAGGATGTGAATTGTGTTTAGTCGTGATAGTGTCCTTTTGATTCTGATTTATTTTAAGGGAAACTCCACCGCATGGGTGTCCATCCAAGAGTTCTTGGACAATGGAGGAGAAAGAATGGAAAGAGCAGTCCCTGGGGAAGGATATCGCGTTTGGTAAAGAGAGGAAGACCCTCCATGAGGTGGATTGACGTGATAGCTACAATGGGCTCAGGCTCCGGAACCATTGTGAGCAGGGCGCAGGACCGTGCAGGGTTCGTTCCGCTGTGCATGGGGTCTCTGTGGATTGCAACGGATGGCATCGACAACCCTAACGACCACACAGGTAACCGGGAGAGTCAAAGGCACGCTGCTCACACACACTTTTGGAAGGTTGAGGTAGGCCTCATCGCAAAATAAGGATCTTCATGCCTGTGTGCCATTGTTGCAATGAGGGACCGTGACAATGGCCTCAACGGTCACAACCCTTGTGATGGGGACACAGGTGTGGGCAGCGTCTCCTTCTGCTGTGTGTTGGGGGGGGCCTCTATGAGTCAGAATTGACTCCATGACACCTCGCCGCCGCTGCCAATGTGAGCATGGAGCTACATTTCAGCCACAGCGAACAAAGTTGTTGTCGTCTTGTTGCTATCGTTGCACAGAAAGCCATGCCCCGCGGAACTCAGAGCTGCTCACTCCTGCTCCATCCCACCACTGCTTACAGATGGAACCACTGTGATCGAACCACAGG